TTTGAGATGTATTTGACATATAACATTGTATTTGTTTTAGGTGTACACATTAATGATTTGATGTAGGCATATGTTGTAAAATTATTACCACAGTAGGTTTTGTTAACATCTATCACCTTATAAAGTTAGGTGTTTTTTTTTCTTGTGGTGAGAATGTTTAAGATCTACTCTTAGCAGCTTTCAGATATACAGTACAGTAGCATAAGCTACAGTCACCGTCCTCTACATTATATCCTGAGATTTATTTATCTTATAACTGGAAGTTTGTACCTTTTGACCCCTTTCGCCCACTCCCTGCCCCCATCCCTGCTCTTTATCTGTGAGTTCAGGGTGTTTTTTGTTTATTTGTCTGTCTGTCTGTCTTTAGATCCCACATGTAAGTGAGATCACCTTGTATTTTCACATATAGTTTGTGCTTTGAAGAATTTTTTTTAAGAGAGAGAGTAGAAGGGAGGGGGAGAGCCAGAGAGAAATATCTATGTGAGAGAGACACATCAACTGGGGCCTCCCCCAGGTGCCCAACTGGGACTGAGCCTGCAACCAAAGTACGTGCCTTAGACAGGAATCGAACCCACGACCCTTCAGTCCGAGGGCCAATGCTTTAAGCACTGAGCCAAAGGAGCCATGCCAGGAATTTTTAATTTTTTTTCGTATTTGAAGTTTCATTTTTGAGGTTTTTTATTTTTTCAATTACAGTTGTCATTCACTATATTGGTTTCAGGTGTACCACATGGTGGTTAGACATTGAGGAATTTTTAAAGGAATCTTTTCCTTTCCTGAGGCCCTGACATTCTCCATTTGCTTCCTGTGGCTTTGTAGTTGGACCTTCATGTTCCTCCTTCAGGGTTTACTTCTGCGTAAGGCCTGAGGTAAGTTCCGGCCGGACTCTCTCTCGGCTGGAGCTGCTTTCCCCAGCACCACACCGCAGAGCCCCCTTGGCCGCTGGTCTGTGGAACCCCCTCCGTCTGACCCCAGTTCCCTGAGCGGGGCCGTGCTGGGCTCTCTCCCCCGTTCCCTGGGCCCATCTCTTCCTGTAACAAACCCCCTGTCGGGACCGTTCAGGCTCTGGCCTCTGTTTTACTCTCTCCCAGCTGGCTTCTTCGTCGCTGCCCGTTTTTGTAAGATGATCTTAGCTGGTCGTGGACTTTAGTTTTTCCATATAAATTTCGGTATCAGTGTGCCCCACCCCCCAGGGAAATAACAGCAGTAAATATCGTTTTTATTGGTGTTGTTTTAGCATGGCAGTGTCTGACCTTGACCTCCTCGCATGACAGGAGCCGCCCAAGCTTTTGGGAGAAGGGCCTGCTTTTCCCTGTGGCAAAAGGGACCATGGTGCCACTCCATTTTTTTCTTTTCCATTTTTTAAAAAATTGTGGTGAAATATAACAAAATTTATATATATGGCAACCATTTTTAAGTGTCCACATATAATGGTATTCAGCAGTCACATTAAAAAAAAAAAAAAGTTTTGCTGAAACCAGTGTGGCTCAGTGGATAGAGCATCAGCCTGCGGACTGAAAGGTCCCGGGTTCGATTCTGGTCAAGGGCATGTACGTTGGTTGCGGACACATCCCTGGTGGGGGGTGTGCAAGAGGCAGCTGGTCAGTGATTCTTTTTCATCGATGTTTCTAACTCTCTATCCCTCTCTCTTCCTCTGTAAAAAGTCAATAAAATATATTTAGTAAATAAATAAATAATCTTTTTAAAAAGTTTTTTTTGATCCCAGAGAGAGGGAGGAATGGAGAAGGACAGAGAGAGAGATTGATTGGCTGCCTCCCTCCCGCACACCCCGCACGGGGCAAGGAGCCACGGCCCTGGCGTGTGCCCAACCAGGAAGAGAAGCGGAGGCCTCTTGGTGCGCCGGACGGTGCTCCACCAACTGAGCCGCCCCGGCCAGGCGGCAGTCATGTTTTTTATACAGCCATCACCAGCAGCCATCCCCAGAGTGTCTCCGTCTTCCCCACCTGGAGCTCGGTCTCCATTCAACACCAGCCTCCCGCCACCGGCCCCTGGCACCCACCCTCTGCTTCTTGTCTCTCTGAACCTGACGCCCCTGGGGACCTCCTGGAAGTAGACTCACACAGTGTTTATCCTCGTGTGCCTGGCCTGTGTCACTCGGCCACATGTTGCTTTGCCTGGCTGTTGGACCCCCCCCCAGGGGTTTCAGTAAGGGGCACACACAGAGACTGCAAGCTGGCCGTCTGCCTCCTGACACATTTCACTTGGCCACTTAATGTTTTTGTTTTACATGAATTTATTGACAGGGTTAAAAAAAAAAAAAAAAAAAAAAAGGCAGGAGCCCTGCCCGGTAGCACGTTGCTGAGGATGTTATCCCAATACACCACGGTTGCAGTTTGATCTCCGATCAGGGTGCATACAAGGATCAACCTAGAAATGCATAAATGAGTGGAGCAACAAACCAGTGTTTCTCTCTCTCTCTCCTCTCCCCCACTTTCCTTCCTCCCTCTCTCTTCTTTCTCTTTCTAAAATCAAAAAAAAAAAAAAAAATGAGATTCTCATAAAAACCAGCTCCGGAACTGGCCTGGCCAAGCCACGCCCTGGCTGCAGTGCTGTCTGCGTGCTCGCGCCAAGTGTCTCATCCTTTCTGAGGGCTGGTCCCAAGTATTTACTCCCTGTTCTTAACTTGAATGTTGCCCAAGGACTTGAGGACCTAGTCACTGTGTATGTCACAACAGCTCTAACTGTTAAAGAGAATTAAAGTGCCCAGCCACCAGCAGTGCTCAGCTCTGCGGTTGAGCTGTGACCTATGAGCTAGGAGGTCGCAGTTCGATTCCCGGTCAGGGCACATGCCCGGGGTTGCGGGCTCAATCCCCAGTGGGGGGGCCTGCAGAGGCAGCTTATCAGTGATTCTCATCATTGACGTTTCTCTCTCTCTCTCTCTCTCTCTCTCTCTCTCTCTCTCTCTCTCACACACACTCTCTCTCTCTCTCTCTCCCTCTCTCCTCCCTTTTCTGAAATCAATACAAATATGTATTTTGAAGAGAATTGAAGAGACTCGGCCTGTGGAGCCAGGGCCAGGACGGGGCCGTCCTGAGGAAGTGGTGACATAGAAGCCACACGTGGCCTGGGGCCCTGAGCCTTCCCGAGACTCAGGCAGCCCCCACAGTGGTGACTGAGCTGTTGTTCCTCGTCCCAAACCGGGCTCCGGGGCTGGCGCTTCCTGTGGCTCCGTTCCCAAGTGGCCAGTGAGCACCCTCAGGGCCTGATGCCCAGAGTCAGCTTTGTCCTTACACCAAACTACCGTGTTTCCCCGAAAATAAGACCTAGCGCATGGAAAGATAAGACATCCCCTGAAAATAAGACCTAGCACAACTTTGGGAGAAAAAATTAATATAAGACACTGTCTTATTTTCGGGGAAACAGGGTAGGTGGGATTTCTAAAGTGTGATAAGATACGTATCACATGAGACTTTCTATTTTAAGAATTTTGAAGTGTCCAGTGGTGTACAATCGTCACCACCCCCACCTCCAGAACTTTATCTTCCCAAACTAAAACCCTGCCTGGGTGGGGTTTCAATTGTCATTTTCCAATAGCTCAATTGTTTCTTTCTTTTTCTTTTTATTAAAATAGTACCTGCTTAAAATTGAGTTAAGAAGGGAAAAAGGAAGCGGGATATAAATGCCATTTATAGCACAATCTTACTTTTGTTAAAAAAAAAAAAAAAAAAATTTTTTAAGCCCTAATTGGTTTGGCTCAGTGGATAGAGCGTCCACCTGCAGACGGAAGGGTCCTGGGTTCGATTCCGATCAAGGGCGTGTGCCTTGGTTGTGGGCTTCTCCCCATCCCAAGCCCTGGTTGGGGCTTGTGCAGGAGGCAGCCAATTGATGTGTTTCTCTCACATCACATTCTCTCTATCTCTCCCTCTCTCTAAAAATCAATGGGAAAATATCTTCGGATGAGGATTAAAAAAAAAGAAAGAAAAAAAGAAATCAAAGTCCTGGCTGGTGTGGCTCAGTTGGTCACGTACCAAAAGGCTGCAGGTTCAATTCCCAGTCACGGCACATGCCCAGGTTGCAGGTTCGATCCCCAGGAGGGGGCATGTCTTAGGCAGCTGATCCATGTTCTCTCTTGTATCCATGATTCTCTCTCTCTCTCTCTAAAAAAATTCAGTAAAAGTCAATCAAAAAATCTTTTATAAAAGAAAGGACAGACTAAAAAAAAAAAAATCATAATATGAAGTCTCACCAAAATAGAGCTTGCGATTCTCTTGAATTAACAGATGCTTCTTGAGCCCTCCCAAGTGCAGACATTGTTCTAGGCCCGTGGTCGGCAAACCGCGCTCGGGAGCCACATGCGGCTCTTTGGCCCCATGCGTGTGGCTCGGTGTTAGAACCACTTCTTCAAAATGGACTCGCCCAGGCCGACAACGACTTCTGCGCCGGGCCACGGAGTTTCGATCGCACTGATGGTGCACCACCACTGAACCGGACACTTTACAATTCCTAAAATGGAAAACTTCACGTTACACACATCTTACCACAAAATGGCCCGCACGCGGTATTTTGCAGAAGATGGTTTGCTGACCACTGTTGTAGGCTTGTCACCTCGCCTTCCTGTCTTCCGCCCAATCAGCTGCCAGGAAGTAGGAATGCGTTCTCCGAGGCCCTGAGAGATTACATGAATTGCCCAAGGTCACGTACTTGCTCCTGGTAGACATGATTCCCTGCAGTGACTGCCACACTCTGCCGTGATCAGACAGCATTTCGCGTGTCGCTGGAGGTCGGAGAGGGGTCGTGAGCCAGCACCCTGTGGTCGCAGGGCCTTCCCTGTCCCTGCCCGTGGGGGCCAGGCAGCCAGCCAGGGCTGGGATTGGATTCTTCTCCTCCGTTCCCTCCCGCAGTCGCCCACCGTCCACCTTCCCCGCCGGAGGAGCTGACGCCGGAGTCAGTCCTCAGAGCCGCGGACGCGGAGGAGTGTTGCCTCCTCCGCTGTGAGTGCCCCGCTGTTCCCACAGTGAGCGCCTCCTCCCGCCCTCCAGGTCCTCGGGCGTCTGCAGCGTCTGCAGCGGCATCCTCGTCGCCCCCAGGGTCCACAGCAGCCTCCCTGGCACCGCCCACGAGGAACGCAGGCGGGGTGCCCCCCAGGCCGGCAGCCCCGCGCGAACCAGAGGAGGCCGGAGGTGCGGGTAAGGGGGGTGCCACCCAGACGGACAGCGCTGGAGGCCTGGGCACGGGGTCTGGCTTTGGGAGGCCCTGTGACACCAGCCCCCCCCCCCCCCAGGCGGGCCCCAGGCGGCCATACGGTCCATCATGAAGCGGAAAGAGGAGCCAGCGGCCCCCGCGGCCCACCAGCGGAACCTCCAGTTCGTGGGGGTCAACGGCGGGTGAGAGAGCCCCCACCCGCGCCCCAGCTCCCACGTCCCTGTTCGTTCCGAGCGTGGACCAAGTGCCCGGCCTGAGCCCCTCACTTGGATGCCCTCACCTAACGAAAGCACAGCAGACGGGAGGGGAAACGAGGCCCGGTGCGGCCGAGGGCCTCGCTGGAGCGCACGTGTGTGTGCCCAGGAGCCTGCTCCGCGTCTGGCTGCAGGGCCTGTGCCGTAGCCACGAAAGGTGCCAGGTTAAGCTCCCGGCCTGGACGAAGCAGGAAGGGGGCCATCAGGCCAGGGGGATCTTGGGAGGCACGGTGCCCCGGGATGGGCTGGCAAAGTGAGGGAGGGGGTGAGGGCTCCCCCGGTGGAGGCACGGCCTGGGGCCAGGCCCAGAGGAGAGAGGAAGCAGAGCAACAGGAGGAGTGGGAGGTGTCAGAGCGATGGTCAGGGGCAGTTTGAAACCTCGAATACCAGGAACTTAGACTCCGTCCAGAGGAAGCAGGAAGCACGAGGGGCCCATCCGAGGGGGGGGAAGGGTCTGGACCAGGAGCGGGGCGGGGGCGGTTCGGAGGGTGGAAGGGAGAGAGTGCCTGTGGAGGTTCGCTGTGTGCGGGCGCTCCGAGCCACATCCCTGCAGACGCGAGGCCCGGCCGACACCGTCCGCGGCTGACAGTCGTCAGCGCCCCCACGCGTCCCCCGCCACGCCTGGGCCCGCCCGCAGCATCTCTCCCTCCCGCCACCCTCTCCAGGTGCGAGTCCTCCTCCGAGGACTCCAGCACCGCCGAGAACTCCGACAACGACAGCACCGGGAACGAGACCCCGGAGCCCGAGGCGCGGCTGCCGGTGGCTGAGGCCGCCCCGGCCAGGCCCTCGGGGACGGCAGCCGCCCAGGAGGAGGGCCCGCCGTCCCGGGAGTCCGAGCGGGTGCCCGCGGCCGGGGGCGCCTCGGGGTCCAACGCGGAGGAGATCCGGTCAGTGTTCCGGGTGGGAGGCAGGGCCAGGGTTGTGTGTGGGGTGACCCCCAACCCCACCCTCCACGCCTTCTGAGTGAACATCCCGTCAGTCGTGCACCGTAGTCTAAGTGAGCACAGAAGCACTTTCTCCCTCTGGGCACCCGCAAGATCTGAGGCTTTGAGGAAGGGCCGGAGGGGGGCAGTTTGGCTGTGGGGTTAGGATTGAGGGGGCAGATAAAGTCCTTAAGCTACCTGCCTTTTGGGGACATTTTGCCCCACCTGTCCATCCTGTTTATCTTTTTTTAATCCTTTGATGAAAAATCTGGCATCAGGAAAAGATTTCCCATCTGCCTCTGACCACTTGAAGTAAACTAGCCTGTGTGTCCATGCTCTCTCGGAGTCTGTTCTCCACGTACGCCCTGTGGGGTGTGATGTGAACACGTGTTCCTGGCGAAGGGGGCGTCTGAGGGTTACAGTCAGGGGGGCCTGGCGGGATTGGTGAGTGCCCAGGCGGCTGGGTAACCCCTTCTCCCTCGCAGGATGGAGCTAAGCCCCGACCTCATCTCAGCCTGCCTGGCCCTGGAAAAGTACCTGGACAACCCCAACGCCCTCTCCGAGCGGGAGCTGGTACGCGGGCCCTCCTCCCGCCGCACCCTGGCGCCTCCTCCTGTCCCTCTGCCGGCCTGCGGGGGGCGGGGAGGGTGCTTGAGTCACGGGCCTTAGAGAGGGGCCGGGGGGAGGGGAGAGGGACCTGAGGATGATCGCCCGCTGGCAGAGCCGGCTTGGTCCCTGGTCCTTCCGGGAGCTTGAGGGAGGGGAGGGGCTGGCACATCCCCTCCACTGGTTGTCATTCCCCGGATGGAGATGCTCACAGCTTCCTCAGGGGCAGACCTTGGGCCGCCTGTGTCCACTTCCCTCCAGGGCCCTGGTCCGGGCGGGGTGCAGCACTGCTCCCGGGGCTCCTGTGGGTGGGGTCCCCGTGCTCCCCTGGGGCTTCGCCCGGGGACGGTGGCGAGCCTCCCAGCCCCCCCCCCTCGGCAGAAGGTGGCCTACACCACGGTGCTGCAGGAGTGGCTGCGCCTGGCCTGCCGCAGCGACGCCCACCCCGAGCTCGTGCGGCGCCACCTGGTGACGTTCCGGGCCATGTCCGCGCGGCTGCTGGACTACGTGGTCAACATCGCCGACAGCAACGGCAACACCGCGCTGCACTACTCCGTGTCCCACGCCAACTTCCCGGTGGTGCGGCAGCTGCTGGACAGCGGTGAGCCCGCCGGCCGCCGGGGCCGGGCGCGCTGTCCCCCGCCTGGTGGTCTGGCTGGGCAGACACGGCCCTCCCACTCTTGGGGGGCTGGGGGGATGCAGGCCCTCCCCCCCGGTCGCCCCATATTCTGGAAAGGGCAGCCGTGGTCTTCGGGAGCACACGGCCTCCCGCCATCCACACAGACCCCCGTGGGACGGAGGTCACGCCTCCGGGACCCCGTCTGAGGGACGGACGGGCGTGGCTTAGAGTCTGGGGCTTGGAGGGAAGATGTGGTCCCCAATTCAGCAGGAAAAGGGCTTCCTTCCCTGCTCAGACGGGGGAGGCACAGACTCCTAGTCTGGTGAAGACTCCAGTCTGATGGAGGAGCAGAGGCCAGCCTGGAGGAGCCCGGCGTTCAGCCGTACATGCGGTGCCGATGTCGGGGGCCCAGGCTGGTGGAGGGGTGGAGCGGCTTCAGTCACAAAGGGCGGGGGGCTCCGTTTAGGGCAGTGAGAGTGGGACGCCCACCCTGGGCAGACGGGGTTCTCCGTCTGAGAGGAGGGGGATCCGGCCACACCTGACGACGGAGGAGACAGGATCCCCAGAGCTCGTGGTGGAGCGGAGCCAGGCCCCCGGTCCGAGAGAGCGGCCCCCGGTCCGAGAGAGCGGCCCCCGGTCCGAGAGAGAGAGCGGCCCCCGGTCCGAGAGAGCGGCCCCCGGTCCGAGAGAGCGGCCCCCGGTCCGGGAGAGCGGCCCCCGGTCCGAGAGAGAGAGCGCCCCCGGTCCGAGAGAGCGGCCCCCGGTCCGAGAGTGCGGCCCCCGGTCCGAGAGAGAGAGCGGCCCCCGGTCCGAGAGAGCGGCCCCCGGTCCGAGAGAGAGAGCGGCCCCCGGTCCGATAGAGAGAGCGGCCCCCGGTCCGAGAGAGCGGCCCCCGGTCCGAGAGAGAGAGCGGCCCCCGGTCCCGAGAGAGAGAGCGGCCCCGGTCCGAGAGAGAGAGCGGCCCCCGGTCCGATAGAGGAGAGCGGCCCCCGGTCCGAGAGAGCGGCCCCCGGTCCGAGAGAGAGGGCGGCCCCCGGTCCGAGAGAGCGGCCCCCAGTCCGAGAGAGCGGCCCCCGGTTCGATAGAGCGGCCCCCGGTTCGAGAGAGCGGCCCCCGGTCCGAGAGAGCGGCCCCCGGTCCGAGAGAGAGAGCGGCCCCCGGTCCGAGAGAGCGGCCCCCAGTCCGAGAGAGCGGCCCCGGTTCGATAGAGAGGCCCCCGGTCCGAGAGAGCGGCCCCCGGTTCGATAGAGAGGCCCCCGGTCCGAGAGAGCGGCCCCCGGTTCGATAGAGAGGCCCCCGGTCCGAGAGAGCGGCCCCCGGTCCGAGAGAGCGGCCCCCGGTCCGAGAGAGCGGCCCCCGGTCCGAGAGAGCGGCTCCCGGTCCGAGAGAGCGGCTCCCGGTCCGAGAGAGAGAGAGAGCGGCCCCCGGTCCGAGATAGAGAGCGGCCCCCGGTCCGAGAGAGCGGCCCCCGGTCCTAGATAGCGGCTTCCCTTCCGAGAGAGATAGAGAGCGGCCCCCGGTCCGAGAGAGAGAGCTGCCCCGGTCCGAGAGAGAGAGCGGCCCCCGGTCCGAGAGAGCGGCCCCCGGTCCCGAGAGATAGAGCGGCTCCCGGTCCGAGAGAGCGGCCCCCCGGTTTCGAGAGAGAGAGCGCCCCCCGGTCCGATAGAGAGAGCGGCCCCCGGTCCGAGATAGAGAGCGGCCCCCGGTCCGAGAGAGAGAGTGGCTCCCGGTCCGAGAGAGAGAGCGGCCCCCGGTCCGAGAGAGAGCGGCCCCCGGTCCGAGAGAGCGGCCCCCGGTCCGAGAGAGCGGCCCCCGGTCCGAGAGAGAGAGCGGCCCCCGGTCCGAGAGAGCGGCCCCCGGTCCTCAGGGCCGGCCCTCCGCCTCGAGGGGGCCTGCCCGTGTCAGTGGGTCTGAGGCTCGTGTCCGCCTGCCCCGCCCAGGTGTCTGCCAGGTGGACAAGCAGAACCGTGCCGGCTACAGCCCCATCATGCTCACCGCCCTGGCCGCCCTCAAGACCCAGGATGACATCGAGACGCTCCTGCAGCTCTTCCGGCTCGGAGACGTCAACGCCAAAGCCAGCCAGGTAGACCCGGCTGCACACCGGGCAGCCCTCCCCGCTGACCAGGCCCCATGATCTGGTTTCATGCCAGAGAGAGTCCCCGCTCCTCAGACAGGAAACTGAGCCCAGAGAAGCAGCGTCGTTTTCTCAAGGTCCCGCTAGAGGAGGGGCTTCGAACCGGGGGTCCAGCTCCAGAGCCCCATTCGCGTGCCTTCCGGCAGGCGCAGGCCTTCTGGGGGAGTGGGTGGGGAGGGGGAGGTCACGGGGTCTCCAGCCTTTCCAGCCTTACACCCTCCTACCTGCCGCTGCGGAGCCAGAGGCTCCGGTGGTGGCCCCGGGGCACGTCCCCGCCCTCCTGGCGCTCCCCAGCCAGGGGCCAGGAGCCGCTCACAGGCAGCACGGAGGCCTGGAGGGGGTTTGGACTGGCTGCAGAGGCCTCTGGGGGCGTTCCATCAGGGCCACGGTGCGACCGCTTTCTGATTTGAAACCTCCTTCAGCTGCATGTTGGGAGCCGAAGCGAGGAGCCTGTGAAAGCCACAGGGATGTGGACGGGGTCCGGGCGGAGGAGCAGGGCGGACACGGGGACAGCCAGGGGAGGGAACAGAGCTGCACAGACGCCCTGAGGGAAGAGCAGGGCGCAGCGATGTGCACACTTGCTCTTCTTTATTGATTTCCGAGAGGAAGGGGGAGGGAGAGAGAAACACCAATGAGGAGAGAGAATCATTGATCGCCTCCCCTCCTGGGAATCGAGCCCCCAGCAGGGACATGGGCCCTGAACCGGAATGGAACCTGGGACCCTTCAGTCACTGTGTCTGAGCCAAACCAGCTAGGGCTGGTTTACTTTATTTTTTTTAATTGAGGTGAGATTCACACATTACCCCTTGAAAAGTCTACAGGCCAATGGCAGTTAGTATATGTCACCATCCCCTAAATCTACCTCCGGAACATTCCCATCACCCCTAAGGGAAGCCCTGTTAGCAGTCACTCCCCCGGTCTGCTCTCTGCTCTCCGCCTCTGGATCTGCCCGCTGTGGTTTCATACGAATGGAATCGTGTAGAATGTGCCGTCTAGTGTCTGGCTCTGTCAGCGAACACAGTGTTTTCAAGGTTCCTCCTCGCAGGGTGTGGCGTTCCCTTCTAAGGCGGAATAACATTCTGGAGGGCGGGTTTACCACAGTGTGTTTATTGCTCATCCGCTGGGAACACTGATTTAATTTTTATGGAGGTTCAGCTGACATACAGAGACGTGCACGGGTCTCAGCTTCATACGTTTTCACCTGTTTGCGCCTGTGAGTCAGGCGGCTGCTGCAGGTGGGCGTGGGGTGGCGATGGGGAGGCCAGTGACATCTCAGAGGAGGAGACATGGGAGCTGAGACCTGGGGAACGAGGCAGCGGAACGGGCAGGGACCAGCAGGTGCAGGGCCCAGGGTGGGAGGACTGTCTGCGATACAGGGAGGCCAGCGGGGCGCTGTGAGCCTCGGGTCGGCGGAGCTGTGACAGGTTTGGGCGGGGACGCTCCTCGGGCCTGCGTGGAGCAGTCTGTGCTGTGCTGCGCAGGCCGGGCAGACGGCCCTGATGCTGGCGGTCAGCCACGGGCGCGCGGACGTGGTGAAGGCGCTGCTGGCCTGCCAGGCGGACGTCAACGTGCAGGACGATGACGGCTCCACGGCCCTCATGTGCGCCTGCGAGCACGGCCACAAGGAGATCACGGGGCTGCTGCTGGCCGTGCCCAGCTGCGACATCTCGCTCACCGACCGCGTGAGTCCGCGCTCAGGTGCGCCCCGGGGCGGGCGGGGGCTGGGTGCCGGCGTCCTCATCGCGCGCTGCTTACAGGACGGGAGCACGGCTCTGATGGTGGCCCTGGACGCGGGGCAGAGCGAGATCGCCTCCATGCTGTACTCCCGCATGAACATCAAGTGCTCGGTGAGTCTGCGCCCCAGCAGGCGGGGCGCAGGGGGCGGGGGGCGTGGGGGAGCAGGGCTGGGCCTGGGAGTGGACGGATGTTGATGAAGAACTGATGGGTATGGGTCCTGAGCCAGGGACTTAGTCGTCATCTGCTTGTTGAGCCTTCATGGTGCCCCATGAGGCCATGAGTCACCGAGAGCTGAGGCTGCATGGTCATGGTCAACATCTCAGTATTCGAACCCAGACCTATCTGGTTCCAAACGCATGCTCTTTAAATGATTTTAAAATATAGTTTTATTGATTTCAGAGAGGAAGGGAGAAGGATAGACACTTCCATGATGAGAGAGAATCACTGATCGACTGCCTCCTGCACACCCCCTACTGGGGATCAAGCCTGCAACCCAGACATGTGCCCCGACTGGGAATTAAACTGTGACCTTCTGATGCATAGGTCACCGCTCACCACTGAGCCACACCGGCCAGGCCAAGTGCATGTTCTTAATCGCCATTCACTCATTTGAGAAGTATTTACAGAGCACTGGCTGTCTCTGGCCCTAATCCTGGCCTGGCAATCAGCACTGAACAAAACAGGAAAAAAAGTTTCTGCCCTCATAGAGCAGACATTCTAATAAAAGACAAAATAAGCAGATTGGTGTATCACAGCCGGGGATGGTAAGTCCTGGAGAGAGATATAAAACAGGAGAGGAGGGACAGTGCGTGATGGAGGAGCCACCTGAGACCTTCGTGAAACTGTGACGCTGAGCCAGCCCTTGAGGAGGCGAGGGGGCGAGTTAGTGGCTCTCCGGGCGGAAGGAGCGAGCAGAGCCACAGCCTGAGGCGGGCTTCCCTGGTGTGTGAGGGCGTCTGGGAGCCCCACGGAGGAGAGGAGGGCCGGGAGGTCACGCCGGGCCTTGTGGGTTTTGCCGGGAGCGTGTCAGTGTGTAGAGGCCTTGAGTCAGGTGACAAGACGTCCCGCTTTTGGCGGGACAGTCCCGATTTTTAACAACAATTTGTCAAAAAGATAATTGTTAAAAATCGGGACGTCTGGTCACCTTACTCTAGACCTTGGGCAGGAGCCTCATGCCGCCTCCCCCCTCTCCTCACACCCCCACCTGCGCTTGCCCCGAAGCGTATCCGGGTTCGGGTTCAAGGGTGGCATCGTGGGTGTCAACACGGCGAATCCCAAAAGGTCCAAGAGAGGGAGCTTGCAGACATGCCATCCGTCTCGCCTGGCTCCCAGGTCCTCCTGAGGCTCCGAGCTTTCCGGCTTCAGGGCACCCGCCCGGGCCTCAGGGCTGACGCTCAGATCAGTTTCCTCAGCGGGAAGATGGGGTGATGGAGCTGGAGATGGCTCGCCCTCTGGTCTGTGCTCCTGCCCCAGGGACTCTGAGGGAGGAACCCCGATCCTCCTCGTCTGCCTGGACCACTGCCACAGCCTCTGCCTCCCCCAGCCTCCCCCCCCCTCAGCAGCCAGAGGTCATGGCAGACACCTGAGTCAGCAATGCCTCCTCCTCACAGCCCTCTCTGGCTCCACCTCCACTGGAGAGAAAGCCCAAGTCATCCTTAAAGCCCATCAGCTCCCCCCTCCCCTTCCCCCCTCCCCCCCTCCCTGAGCTCCAGCCACACCAGCCTTCTCCCTGCTCCCTCAGGGCCTTGGCCCCGGCTCTCCTGCCTGCAGAGCCTGCTCTGCCCCTTGGCTGGCTCCTCAGCAGCATTCAGCTCAGACAGGCCCTCCCCGACCACCCGCCGTCCACTCCATTCCCTTCCGTCCGGCGTCCCTGGTGAAAATCCTCCGCTGCGTTTATTTGTTTGCTTCTTGGAGGCATCTCCCCGTCACGTCACGTGGCCTCCTGGGGGCCCAGGGCTCGCAGCCTCTTGTTCCCTCACCGCGGCCGCGGGGCCGGCGCCTCGGAGGCCAGGACGCCAAAAGGACTGTGCTTCTCGTTTCAGTTCGCCCCGATGTCGGATGACGAAAGCCCTGCCTCGTCCTCCGCGGAAGAGTAGCCAGGAGCGGGGACCCGAGGCGCCTCCCCTCCCAGGCCAGGCAGCCCTGGAGCGGCCGCCCTCCTCCCTCGCTCCTCGTCCTGGGCTCCTCCCTGGCCCACCCCGCTCCTACCCACCGAGCCTGGGTCCACAGGCACGTGGTTTTCCTCTGCTTCCCAGCAGCGACCAGGCCCCAGCTTACGGCGGGTCTTCCCGCCCCCAGTTCAAAGCAGCCACAGCGCAGACAGAAGCTCATTCCCACAGAGATGGGCGCCGGCGGCTGTGCTGGGCGTGGGTTCCTGGAGAACGCAGAACCCTCGGCTGGCGGTGGCGGATGGAGGAGGGCGAGGGGAGCGCGCTGTGTTTTCGAACCGCCGTCGGGGAAGAGGGGGAGTCGTAGGACCTGTTGCCAAATCTGAAAGTCACTGGAAAGGCATATTTTCATTTTAATCGTGAGTGTCATTACTCACGGGCGGGGTCTGGAGTGGCTTCACTCCCCCTCGGCCCCCACGTAATTGTCTGGTATGTAGCAGTGTTGTGTCCACTCCCCCCCCCCCCCCAGGCAGCTTTTTCGGGGGAATTTTGGTCTCTTCACAAAACGGATGCTGTCCTTGTCACCCGGAGTAGGAAATGCAGCCCTTTCTTCTGCTTCCTCGTGCCACTGGGAGGGGAGGGAGCCCCAGGACTCAGAGCCGAGAGGTGGGAGCAGTTCATATCAAGAAATTACTCCGGCCCTTCCCCGCATGGAGGCCCCAGCGAACATTAATTTTCCTAGAAAACCCTTCAGGCCCGGAGACACAGGAAATGAATCCTGTTCCCAGAGTGGCTGCTGCGTGCCCGGGTTTCGAACCCAGGGTACGGGCCGCCCAGGTCCTCCGCAGGCTCCAGAATTTCTCTTCAAAGGAAAGAAAACAGGCCGTGTGTGTGTGTGTGTGTGTGTGTGTGTGTGTGTGTGTGTGTGTGGCAGCGCCTGGGGCCGGCTCCAGGAACCCCATGTGTGCACAATTAAAAGTTGGCTGCCCCCAGAGGGCTCCCAGCACAAACTTAAAGAGGCAGGGCCTTGCCGAAAACCAAACAAGGGCCAGCTGGGTTGTTGTTTTTTTTAACCTACAGGCTTTCCGGAGCTGCCTGGAGCAGAGCCTGCTGGACTTGGGCTCGCCAGACACTCACAGTTTCCTTAATGGCCTGTTTTGTTCCCAGGATCTCGACCGAGTTCTCTTTCCTTTTCCTTCCTTCTGTGAACCAAAAAAAGAAAGGCGAGCGGCCCCGAGCCGCCCCACGTGCCCCTGCGGCGGGGGAGGGAGACCCCTGGCTAATGGGTGTCCTGCCCCCGGCCAGTCGCAGCCCTGGGAGCCGGCCCTGAGCGCTCACGTGTCCACTCCGTCCTGCGGAGCCCTGGCCCCCCTCCCACAGAAGTGGGCTTGCTGGCTGGCTGGAGTCTGGCTTGCTTTGATTTTGAAGGGATCAGAATCTTTTTTACTCTGTACCTGAGACAAAAGGGCTTGCGTGGCCAAAGGAGGGAGGCACCCCGGAGAGAGGGGGGGAGAGAGTGTGTGTGTGAGTTGGAAAGAAAAAAACCGAAGCTGCTTGAGGGTGTCCTTGGCGTGTGATGGGAGGCGGCTCTGAGCCGCGGTCCTGGTGGTGTGTGCCTGTGTCCTGGCCCGGAGCCAGCGGCGGTTTATTTTAAGCTCCTATAAGAGCTCAGTGACACCATATTTGTCCCTGTTCCCCTCTCCCCTGGTGCCCGTTGGCTTGGCAGGGAGGCCACAGGGGTCCTGCCTCTGTCCCCATTCTCTTCTCACGTGTATTCACGGCCTTAAACTCTACTTTCCAACCACGGTACGTCCATAAAGGCAGTATTACGCTTAAATGAAGTATTCTTTTTTGTAATCATTTTTTAGATGGTAAAGAAATGTAATAAAGCTACTTTATGATAATGCCAATATCTGTGCCTGGTCTTTGTCAAGGTGTGTGCCTCTTTAAGCTTTAAAATAGATACCCTTTTGCCCTAGCCAGTTTGGCTCCATGGATAGAGCTCCATGGACTGAAGGGTCCCGAGTTCGATTCCGGTCAAGGGCACATGCCTGGGTTGTGGACTCAACCCCAGGAGGGGGCGTGCAGGAGGCAGCCAACCCATGCTTCCCTCTTATCATTGATGTTTCTATCTCCCGCTCTGAAATCAATTTTTAAAAATTATAATTTACTTATTTTGAACAATGTTCAGAGCTACAGAAAAGTGACAAGACTGTTATAGTAAACTCCCTTATGCTCTGGTCTATACTGTGGCCACTAGCTCCATGTGGCTTTTTCCATTTAAATGTACTTTAGTTACGATTATAATTAACATGTGCCTAGTGGCTATCATATTGGCCTCCAGAGGTAGAAAACATTGCCATTGTGGCAAAAAGTTCTAACGAAGCCCCTCAGTGAAGACCTCAACCAAAATCTTTACAGACTGCGTTTTCCTCATGACAATTCATAGCAATTGTAAAAGGCAAAATCCAGACAATACAGAAATGTTTGGCATGGTGGAGGTGCCCTGGTCCTTAGTGTAAACGTTTTGCTGCTTTATTTTTTGAGATGTAATATGCACACATGTTGTGCCCACGTCTGTTAGGGTTGCGGGAGGAGGAACGCACTCAGCCAAAGTGGTGAGGGATTATAAATTCATTAAGTCTTCTGGAAACTCAGATGAGCTGAGCCCCCCAAATGGCACCAGCACCGAGGGACAAGGAATCAGATTGTATTTTGATTTTTTAAAACAGTTTATTGATTTTTTTTTTTTACAAAGCGGAAGGGGAGAGAGAGAAACATCGATGAGAGAGAAATATCAATCATCTGCCTCCTGCACCACCACCCCCCAACTGGGGATGTGCCTGCAACCAAGGTACATGCCCTTGACGGGAATCGAACCTGGGACCCTTGAGCCCGCAGGCTGATGCTCTATCTACTGAGCCAAACTGGTTTCAGCAGGAATCCGATTTTAAAGGACTCTAGGCGGGCCTTTTTGGGGAAGGTCCACAGGGGAAAGATTGTGGTCTTAGCAAGTGGAAGGTGGTCTAAGCGAAAGGGAGTGTCGGTTGTGAAGTGGCCTAAAGGTCAGCTCCCAGGGGAGAGGTATCGATTCCATTATTTGATCAGACCCAACAAAGTCATGCACAGAAGCACAAACTGAACACCCTCCAGTCACCAGCACCAGGACAGGAAGTGGAGCAGCCTGGGCTGGCCCCCAACCCTGACCCTTCCTCTCCCTCCCTCCAAAGGTGATTATGGTTGCTCTCCTGACCTCTCACTTCCTCTGTTTTACCTCTGGATTGGTCAGCCAGGAGATAATGGGTGGGTTTCAGAGGTTTTAGGAAGTGCCAGGGATTTTATGCAGAGTTGTCTATTTCTGAGTGGAAGGTCCATTGTGCTTGTCCGTTTTTCAGGGGGGGTTAGTGAGCCAAGAAGAGGCCTTTGTTATATATATATATATATATATATATATATATATATATATATATATATATATTATAGATTTTTTACAGAGAGGAAGGAAGAGAGATAGAGAGCTAGAAACGTCAATGAGAGAAACATCGACCAGCTGCCTCCCGCACACCCCCCACTGGGGATGTGCCCGCAACCAATGTACATGCCCTTGACCGGAATTGAACCCGGGACCCCTCATTCCGCAGACCGACGCTCTACCACTGAGCCAAACCAGTTTCGGCTGTAATATTTTTTTTTTAATTGTTTTTTTTTCCGTAACTGCTTTGGCTCAGTGGATAGAGCGTCGGCCTGTAGACTGAAGGGTCCCAGGTTCTATTCCTGTCAAGGGCACATGTCAGGGTTGCTGGCTCAATCCCCAGTAGGGGGCATGCAGAAGGCAACCAATCAATGATTCTCTTTCATCACTGATGTTTCTATCTCTCCCTCTCCCTTCTTCTCTGAAATCAATAAAAACAATTTTTAAAAAAAGAAAGATTGGCCTAGTTGTATTTTTTAAAAAATTGTTTCTCACAAGTAATTGTCAAGGACCATTTTGTCCTCTTTGATAATACTGTTCAGCTAATGCTTAAGGACCCATTCCCCACCACCACCCAGTTTCTTGCTTTAATTTTTTAAAATATATTTTTATTGATTTTAGGAAGGAAGAGGGAGAGAAAGAAACATCAAGGATGAGAGAGAACCATTAATTACAATAGCTGCCGCATGCACCCCCCACGCTGGAGATCAAGCCCACAAATCCTGGCATGTTGCCCTGACTGGGAAAAGTTGATAACCACTGAGCCATGCTCGCCAAGCTAATTTTTTTCATACATGATTTTTTTGGTTAATCCTTACCTGAGTATACTTTTCAAATGATTTTTTTTAGAGAGAGTGGAAGGGAGGTGGAGAGAGAAAGAGAGAAACATCGATGGAGGGAAACACACATTGACTGGCCCTGACCAGGGCCAGGGAATGAATCTGTAATCCAGGTACAAGCCTTTGACCGTGAAATCAAACCCACAGCCCTTTGGTGCCCAGGTGGACACTACAGCCACACCTGCCAGGACAACATATGATTTTTATTTTTATTTTTTATTTTTTTAAATATATTTTATTGATTTTTTTACAGAGAGAAAGGGAGAGGGATAGAGAGTTAGAAACATCAATGAGAGAGAAACATCGATCAGCCTCCTGCACACCTGATCGATGCCTCCTGCACACCTCCTACTGAGGATGTGCCCGAAACCAAAGTACATGCCCTTGACTGGAATCGAACCTGGGACCTTTCAGTCCGCAGGCTGATGCTCTATTCACTGAGCCAAACTGTTTTCGGCAATATGTGATTTTTAAATATGTTTTTATTGATTTAAGGGAGAGGAAGAGAGGGATGGAAGCATCAATGATGAGAGAATCATTGATCAGCTGCCTCCTGCACACCCCCTACTGGGATCGAGCTTGACGCCAGGGCATGTGCCGTGACCTCCTGGTTTATGGGTCGACGCCAAACCATTGAGCCACACTGGCCGGGCTAAACCATTTTCAAGTTTCCGTTCAGTGGCATTAAGTACATTCAGATTGTTGTGCAGCCATCACCACCACCCATTTCCAGGACTCTATCTTCCTAAACTGAAACTCTGTCCCCATTAAACATTAACTCATCACCTCCCACCCCCAGCTCCAGGCACCATTCTATGAATTTGCCTGCTCTAGGGACCACACATAAGTGGAACCATACGGGATTTGTCCTCTGTGTCTGGCTTATTTCACTTAGCACAATATCCTTAATATTCATCCGTGTTGTAGCACATGGCGGAATGTCCTTCCCTTTTTAAGGCTGAATAATATTTCATAGTATGCATATATTCCATCTTGTTTATCCACTCATCCAACAATAGACACCTAATTGTTTCTACTTGGTGGTGACTGTCAATAAGGCTGGTGTACAAATCCAGGCACAGGGTAGGTGTTAGACTGGGAGGGTCAGACCAGACCTGGGTTTAGCGACGTTGATACTTGGGATCTGGCGAGGAAAGATTTCAGAGCCAAAGCTCACGCTATAGAACACACGTGTCAAACACAAGGCCCGCGGGCCAAATCCGTCCCGCCAGGCCTTGCAATGTGGCCCGCACCGCGCTGTCATCACTGCACTCCGCTGCGTTTCCATCACAATGACAGGTTATGACTGTTCAGTAAACCATTCGGCCCGCGATTTAGGCTGGATTTTAGATTTTGGTCCCTTCTCTGATTGAGTTCGACACCCCTACTATAGAACATTACACTTTGTTTTGTTTTTCATCCTCACCGGAGAACATTTCGGGAAATTCACAGAGGTAGAAGCAGCAACTGCTAGAGGAAACGGGCTTAGGAAACAAGTTAGAGAGTGACAGGAAGGGCCTTGGGGGTTTGGGAGTGAGGAAGCGAATGGTCAAGTGTCTGCTGGGAGGCAGAGGGGAGAGGGGAGGCAGAGGGGAGAGGGGAGGGAGAGGGGAGGCAGAAGGGAGAGGGGAGAGGGGAGGGAGAGGGGAGAGGGGAGGGAGAGGGGAGAGGGGAGGCAGAGGGGAGAGGGGAGGGAGAGGGGAGAGGGGAGGCAGAGGGGAGAGGGGAGGGAGAGGGGAGGGAGAGGGGAGAGGGGAGGCAGAGGGGAGAGGGGAGGCAGAGGGGAGAGGGGAGGGAGAGGGGAGGCAGAAGGGAGAGGGGAGAGGGGAGGCAGAGGGGAGAGGGGAGAGGGAGGAGAGGGAGGAGAGGGAGAGGGAGGGAGGGGGAGAGGGAGGCAGAGGGGAGAGGGGAGGCAGAGGGGAGAGGGGAGAGGGGAGGCAGAGGGGAGAGGGGAGAGGGGAGGGAGAGGGGAGGCAGAGGGGAGAGGGGAGGAGAGGGGAGAGCGGAGGGAGAGGGAGAGGGGAGGAGAGGAGCAGGGATGAGGGCAGCAAGGAGGAGGCAGAGGGAGAGGGGAGGGAGAGGGGAGCAGAGGGAGAGGGGAGGCAGAGGGGAGAGGGGAGGGAGAGGGGAGAGGGGAGGCAGAGGGAAGAGGGGAGGCAGAGGGGAGAGGGGAGGCAGAGGGGAGAGGGGAGGGAGAGGGGAGAGGGGAGGCAGAGGGGAGGCAGAGGTGAGAGGGGAGGCAGAGGGGAGAGGGGAGGGAGAGGGGAGGCAGAGGGGAGAGGGGAGGCAGAGGGGAGGGGGGAGGGAGAGGGGAGAGGGGAGGCAGAGGGGAGAGGGGAGGCAGAGGGGAGAGGGGAGGGAGAGGGGAGGCAGAGGGGAGAGGGGTGGGAGAGGGGAGGCAGAGGGGAGGGAGAGGGGAGGCAGAGGGGAGAGGGGAAGGAGAGGGGAGGCAGAGGGGAGAGGGGAGGGAGAGGGGAGATGGGAGGCAGAGGGGAGAGGTGAGGCAGAGGGGAGAGGGGAGGCAGAGGGGAGAGGGGAGGGAGAGGGGAGGCAGAGGGGAGAGGGGAGGGAGAGGGGAGGCAGAGGGGAGCGGGGAGGC